TCATAATATTTGTCGAATGCTGCTAGAAAATAGTTTGGATAACTTGAATCCTTATGTCGTATAGAGTATTACATACATTTTTGTTTAATATGCTTTGATTGAAATGTTTGCTCTGTAAACTATTTATACACAGGCTGCTCGAGCTTTATGTGAAATTTATGTTTCATCATTTTACATTTGTTCTTTTCATCCTATCCATCTACCATCTATTTATAATATTAACAATAATAACAACAATAATTATTGCCTATAGGCTCTGATACGCATTAATAACAATAATAATAATTAATAAACTTTAATCGATAATATAATTAATAAATACAATCTCAATGAATAACAATGTGTATAAATACACGTGCACTTGTAGCTAACTGATAAAGTACGCCAGTCACCAGGCTTAGACTGAGTTTTAAAAATAAAACTAAATTTGATTCAATTGTGAGTGTATTTCGCAAGTTCCGAGTGCCCAAACCGAGAGGCTAGTTGAACATCGATCGCTGGGTGCTCAAGATGTGCGCGTGTCGCCTGCTGTGGCTGCTTCTGGGCATCGTTTCGGGCAGCGCGCAGCTGCTGGAATGTCCGGCCACCAGTTTTGTGCATGGCTACGAGGCGAGCACTGGGCTAATCACCTTTGCCAATTATTTGCCTGCGACGGCCGTCAACGAATTCGCCCTGCCCAGGCGTCTGTGCGTGGAGCGCAGCGGTCTTCCGCTGGTGCGACGTTGCCTCGCGAATCAACAGTGGGAGACGCTGGAGAACATCACCTGCCAGCTGGAGCAGCCAGCCAATGGTCAGAGTCAAAGGCTGAACGATTTGCAGTTCGAGCTTGTCGAAGGAGTCTTCTCTCGTAGCTCTGGTATGAACTTTCCGCTGAACATAATGGAGAGCATAAGCAACATAATAGGCCACAACAATCACCAAATCCAGCCTGTTGATTTGCTGAATGTTAACAAAATAATTATCGAAGTGGCCAAGGAGCCAAAGGACGTGGCGGTGAGCACCAAAATGATCGGACTGTACAACAATCTAATGGCCACCAATAACTCCGTGCTGGCGCTCTCAGCACGGCTGAATGCCACCAACAATCTGCTCTACACTTTCGAGGACTATACGAATGCCTTGGCGCAGCAAATGGTCTCGGGGGCGAACTGCAATCAACTCCTGCCAATGGCGATGCCCAAGCATCTGGTGGACGTGAAAGTGCACAATGGTGTTCAGGTGCTCATCGGCGGCAATCTGAGCGTCTTCTACTTGTTGCCCGAATGCAATCAGTTTACAGGCATTGCCATCTACTCGGAGACAGCAGCTGGGCGCGAGGGCTGCCAGCATGATCGGTTCTGGTATCGTTTTCTGTACGCCAATCAGAGTCTGGAGGCGCTCAGGGCGGAGCCGGGTCTCCAGGCAGCCACATACGTGACGCATCAGCTATGGCAAGCCATGCGACGCACTGGAGTCACCTATCTGGTCTTCAAGATCTATGCCAATAGTGCACTCTTTGTGGACGCCTCCACGGCGAGTGCGAAGGCCACGCCAGTCAGCCACGTGCTCTCCATAAACATACCCCAAGCTTCGAGTAAGTATACATGAAATCTTAGATTTTAAGCTGGAGACCTAGTCTTGTTTCAAGGCAAAAATTCACCTGTCGATCGGTTATTCCTATCCGTAGGATTCCGATGTATGAACCTATCCTAACTTCTTTGATAATAGCTTAAGAAAATAGAAGAATTAGGCTATATTGAATCGAATGTGGCTTATAATATATATATATAAATAATATGTAATACCCTTATCGCCGTTGAGTAATGCTTATTCGATCAACCGCATATTCCAGACAAATCGATAGAAACAAACCCCATATAGTATAATGCAAAGCCTCAAGTACTAACAAAATATTTTAATAGTTTAAGGAATGCCCAGAACCTTTGGCTATCACGGCTATTAAACAATTTGATTCTTTCAAAAAACAACTAAAGTTAGATAAAAGATACATGATCTGTATATACTAATCTAGAAGCTACATGTCAAATTTAGGGACTAAGAAATTTGTTAAAGGAACATGATTTTGATATCGTCCTTTATCGGCGGACATGACTAGATCGACTCGACTATTAATGCTGACCAAGAATATATTCACTTGACACTTGACTACAAATATTTGCACAAAATGAATGTACCCGTTTTAACCAATTCCACAGGGTAAAACACGAACAACTCCATATCGGCTTTAATTTCAGAAAACTTGGCCCATCCGCTGGTTTTTCTACTACGCAACGAAAACTACAAGAATGCAAATAGGAACAGAAATCAAATAGATAACTATTGCGGTTACTGGAACTACGATACATGGAAAACGAATGGCATTACTACGAATACAAATAGCTTGCCCGACAATCCGATCGTTGTGTGCTATACGAACCACTTGACTCAGTTCGCCTTCCTGGTGGGCGCCAGCTGCAAGCAGCAAAATTGCCCCTACGACGAGGATCCGGAGGAGGCCAAACGCAGCGAGTCCCTGCTGGATGTGACCACAGCGGTCGGCTGTGGTCTCTCGCTGTTCGGCTTGCTGGGCATTTGGCTGACGGCAGCCATCTCCCGGAAGTGGCGTGCCATGGGGTCCACGAAACTGCTGCTAAACATGTGCCTGGCCCTGTCCCTGCTCTTTGGCCTCATGCTGCTGCTGTATGTGAACGAATGGTTCTGGCGTTACTCCTTCGACCAGAGCCGCAGCGCCTGCATTGCTCTGGGCGCACTCTTCCAGTACTCGGTGCTGTTGCTCTTCTGCTGGATGCTGCTCATTGGCTACCTGCAGTACCAGCGGCATGTCACAGTTCTGGTGGCCAGACCGGAGCATATTGTGCTGCGTGTGGCTGTCATTGCCTGGTTGCTGCCGCTGTTGCCCACCTTGCTGCTGGTTTTCCTCAGACCCGCAGCGTTCAGTCCAGTCAAGTCGGGCGACATAGCATCTGTGTGTTATCCGTCCGGCTCCGGTTTGGTCTATGGCGTACTGCTGCCCATTGGACTGGTGCTGATTGCCAATGTCTTCACGTTTGCGTGCATCTTCTATAGGGTGGCACGTCTCGAGGATCGCAACGGGCAGCTAATTTGCTTGCAGCTGCGCCTGTTCGTGCTGCTCTTCTTTCTGCTCGGCCTGACTTGGATCTTTGGCATTTGCTCCTACTTTCGTTTGGGCCTGGTTGTTACGTTTATATTCTGCATGTCGGCCTCATTGCAGGGATTTGTACTCTTTTTGTACTTTGTTCTCTTTAATAAGGTAGCCAGATCTGCTTGGCTTCAATTGTTGTTTGGAAAACAACAAGTTGTTAGCATTCAACTAACCGGAAGATCTCCGGGTTAGAGTAAGAGTATAATATAAATTATATAAGAAAAGTACAGACAAAGATCGGGAAATTTAATTAGAGTGTCACACAACTTGTCAAAGATTACTTTTAATTAAAGCATGAAAAGGTTAGACTTACTCGAGCTTATGAGAATCGCGTAGAAGGGCAATGTTAAACAATTATCTTTTCTGCAATTAGCGGCGCGGTGCGACATACGTTTAGAATATATATAGATATATAAACACACATACACACATTATACACCACATACGTCATTCAATCAACCTGCCTGTCGATATCTACAACAATAGCTGATATCCTTGCCAGCTAAAAGGTACAAGTATAGATATGTTTTTATTAAACATTAAGGCATAAACATGCTTTCTAGATTTCGCTCAAGTAATTGAACAGCATATTGAACTTTTTTCATGGTAAATTGAAAACTTTTACCACGCCCTTGTCCTCACACTTGGTAAGCCACAACTTTATAAGTAAGTACATACAAAAGTATTACTTCAATGTTTTGCTTTTGATTCTATATTTCTAACATGCACGAAGGCACAAATAGAACTTTTTCTGTAAACAACATTTGAATATCATTATCTATGTAGCGGAAAAGTAAAGAACATTTAAGTTGTTTGCTGTCGAGAAGTCGACCAATTAATAGATGCAAATAGTACGGTATAGCAAGACAATAAACATATTTGTTCAAATTTGCCAAGGATTCAAAATTATTGGATGAAGTCAACACTTGCCCGATTTAGTTGGTCGATTTAGGTAATCGTGCATTTAATATATGCATTATATATATATAAATTCTGGAAATAATAGTGGATCGTGTATTAGGTATTTTATTCTGCACACACACATTAACCTAATGCAAAAGGGAGCGGATCTTGGCTGAATGTAAATATGAGGGCTCTGGCACAAATGAAAGCTTTTTGTTACGCAAACTGAACGAATAACTTTAACGAGTACTCAAAAACAATTACTACGCGATTAGTGGTTGAAGTCTTTGCTATGGTCTTATAATAAAATTAGATTAGAAATTAGATAGAAATAAACTGCGCTGATTTGCATGTCACGGTCTTCTAGCATTACAATTTTGACCAAACTCTGTAATAACTATATTAACAACTAATTCAGTGACATTCTTTGTCTTTATTATTTCCAGTTAAAATTCTATGACCCTGAGATTTTGCTTAAGCTTAACGATCAAGATCGACGGGACTTCATGTCGTCGATTAGCAGGTGCTTTGCTTGTTGCATTTTATGGTAAATTGAGATTTCGTTTTCGATTTTTAAAAGGGAATAAAAGCACAGAGTGACCGCCTTCTACTATTTGCTAGTCAATGCTTTTAAGCTAAAAGCTTTTTTAGTACAATTGCTTAGCGTCGCAATCTGAACGACTTATCTCTTGCGATATTTGGTTCAAAACTCGACTATTTCATTTAAATTGAAGTGATATTTCCTTCCAACAGGTGGCGGGCAGCATAGCAACTTTCCATACCCGTTTATAATGTGAAGAGTATCTTTGCTAAAGTAATACTCTAGAATGAGAGTATGCACATAATAATTCCATGGATCTGTAATCCATTAATTATTAATTAGTATTTATTTTATTATAGATCTAACAAAACTATGAGTAAACACATAAACGGATATGCGGAAATTCGTTTAGTTTAAAAAATAAAAAGCAATTCATCGAATCTTGATGAAAATTCTTCGCTCGGCTGACTGGTTATCATTTGGTATGCGTTACAGCTGGCGGAGATGCCCTTCCCGGCTTAGTGCAGACAGTAGGCCACAAGCAGCGTCAGCAGGGCAGACAACGAGCTCAATTGGGACATGGTCTTTGATCCATTGTGGGCATCACGCAGTCCCGACTCCGCGGACAGACGCGCCGACGTCAATCCCGGCATGCGCATGATGTCTGGCTGGCCGCCGGGTCGCAAAGGGGCCAGAGGCACGGATCCCTCGGGCACGGATAAGGTCGTTGTCTGGATGGGTGCCAGAGGTGCCGAGTCCGGCGAGGGTGTCACATTCGAATTGGGAGCCGCCTCTGTAGATGGCGCCGTTGCCGGCACCATCGCTGGCGCTGTGCCATTTGCAGGCGGTGCCGCTTCCGGCGGCGGTGCCGGATAGCAGGCAATCTTCTCCACTTCAATTGTCTTGGTGGGGTCCTTGGGATCCGGCTCTGGCACGCGCGTTGGCACACATATGATGCCGCCAGGCGCGGGTGGTGCAGCAGCCGCTGCTGGTGCATTGGCATCAACTGGAGGTGGTGCAGCTGCAGCTGGCGCTGCGGCATTTGCCAGACCTGCGCCAGCTGCTGTCGCTACGATTGCGCCTTCCGCAGCTGATGGTGTTAGCGGTGCAAGCGGTGTTTGTGGTGCTCCTGGAGCAGGTGCCGGAGCGGCTGCCGGAGCGGGTTGGTATGCCGGTGCAGCGGGAGCGGGTTGGTATGCCGGTGCAGCGGGAGCTGCGGGTTGTGCGCCGCCAGCGTTGATCACCGTGGTGCCGGAGCCAGCATCGGTGGTAGTCACTGAGCCAGGAGGTCCATTGTTGATGATAATAATCTTGTCCTCACCACCTCCGTTACTGCCGCCGCCGCCGCCACCTCCGTAGCCGCCGGACATCGGAGCGTGCTCCACGACGCGCGTCTGCGTGGGCGTGAGCACGTGACCCAAAATGGCACCACCCAAAGCGCCAGCAACGAGACCAGTGCCTGGAAGAGAGAAGAGAGAGTTGATGAGCTAGTTTAAGCAAATGTGGGCAGCTGTTCGCTACTTACCCAATCCCAGACCGGATGACGACTTGGGCGCTTGCGGATAGTAGGTGGCACCCGGCGGCAGTCCAGCGCCAGCTGGCAAATAGGTGGCGCCTGCCGGTACCGCGGCAACCGGCGCTTGGGGATAGTAGGTGGCTCCGTGGGGTACGCCTCCGCTTGGATAGTAACTAGCGCCAGGGGGTATCTGACCAGCCGGATGATAGCTAGCGCCAGCTGGTGCATATCCGCCTGGATGATAAGTGGCACCGGCGGGCAAGGCACCCGGGCTGTGGTACGTGGCACCGGCGGGTGGTGCACTATGGTAGGTGGCACCGGCGGGCAAGGCACCCGGGCTGTGATAGGTGGCACCGGCGGGCAATTGTCCAGCCGGATGGTAGGTGGCTCCTGCGGGCAAATTGCCCGGACTGTGATAGGTGGCGCCCGGATAGCTGGACTGCACGCCATGCGTATTGGTTGCCCCAATGGGCGTGTGATGGTAGCCACCGCCGCCTCCCGTGCTGTTCATGCGTGGCCTATAAACGCTGGCGGGCGTATAATGTGAATTGCTGGACGCGCTGCCCGCCGCCGGTCGCGAGTTGCTGTTGGCCGCCGAGTAGCTTGGCGGCGGTGCATTCGCCTTGTACGATGGATTGTAGGCCGGCGGCGGCTCGTGCACATTGGTGCGAGCACCACCCACGGGATTAGTGGCCGAGTAGGCAGGCGGCGGACCCTGCGCCTTGGGCACGTTCCAGCCGATCGGCGAGGCGTTGCCGTTAGCTGGCCGCGAGACACTGTGGCTAGACGGCTGTGTGTGGGTGCCACCACCGTAGCTGAGACGCGTATTATCCGCATGGCCGTATGATGACGAGGATGAGGGGCGTCGCGCCGAAGAGCTGCTCGAGCTGGACGTACGGCTCTTGCTGCTGCTGCCGCCAAACCAGCGCTTGGCCTGCGCATCCGGGCTGGCCAGCAGCAGGATCAGTAGACCCACCACAAAGGCCAGGCTGCTTAGTCGCCAGGGCGGATTGTGCGACATGCTGCAATGGAGTACTATACGTAAGTCAATTTTCTAGTATTCCAATTAGTTTTTCACAAATTTCTATTCAGTTCCTCGGCCTGCTCGACTTTGACTGAGCTGCTCCCGCCACGCTGGAGCGCTTAAATAGATTTAATGCTTATCAATAGACTGTTATGGACTGACGACCAGAAAACAAAAAGTCCCAGCACATCTAAAGCGCGATTTATAATAAAAACACAAACACACACACACACACATGCACATGTATTTGCAGAGATCGCGATAAGAGACATCTAGGGATGGGAGATTGTATGGGTTGCAGGCAGTTCCCAGTTACCTTTGAGGTGTATATGATATATGTTTGAAAAACATTCAAATCAACTCTGAAACCAAAGTGTGTAATAATATTTGTCGGCCATTAATTAAAATATAACCCATTTATATACATGTGTAGAACATTTTGGAAATGTATTCAATTGGATGAGACTCCTTAAGCTGGAAGAAAAATATACTAAACTCTAAGATATATTTTTTTTGATCCAACACAATCAATGTTTAAAATATACTAAATTCTAATGTATGTAATAAATTTAAAAAAAAAATACTTAATTCTATTTGCATACTTCAAAAGGTTGTGCACACAACCTGCGGTGAATCTATCTAGATTTGTCAATTGTGCAGGTTATTTTAAATATCTCGTTCATATGAATTTTATAAGTTGACATATTTTTTCTATTGAATATATATATTTTAAATTTGTACAAATAAAGTAATTATCGAACTTCGAAGTATCGGTGTTGTTAATTATTCGAGCATCGATCCGGCTTACTTTTATGCATGAGTATTCATTATTCTTACATCATCCTTACAAATAATATTATTTCAATATTTTGTAAATTGCCTATCAATCCATATTCAACAATTAATAAATATAACAGTATTTTTGACAGCTGCCAAAAATATCCAACTCCTCTTAGCTGTCACTTTTGACAGTTTTCAATCGATCGATAAAAAGTTATCGACGCTTATCGTTTCCGGGCACCCATCACCAACAGTTTAAGATAGACTCTCACGCGCTCTCCCGTTGTCATTCTTCATTTGTTTCTGGTGCACTTTAATTTGTTGTTTGCATAAACAATTGATTCAATTTGCGCTTATGAGACCTAACACTCGGTACTCAGTAAACGCGCACTCTGACATTTCCCCGCGCGATTGTAAATGCACGCTTAGCGAATAATATGGGATTATTAAGAGTGCCCAGAGTTGGAAGTTCTACTCGATACTCTATACTGTACAATGTATTTGCGTCATAGTTTCGGGCCCTGCCCATATTTGACGGTGACGCAATGGCACACCCTGGCTGCCACATTTGGTGTCTGCCCCAATTCGTGGCGCGTTATCCATGATGTTAATTAACTAGCTTGGCGATTTGCTCGACTTGTCGCGTGGCTACACTCCATTGACTTTCGCAGCGAGGACTTTTACAGTTCAGGCTTGCCATTAGCTTCTATACTTCCAAGTATTGTGTACATTGAAATTAATATTGTAGGAATTTAATAGGCACACACACGCCCAGGCATCAAGAGACGCCTCTCGAGGTCAAAGTTCAAGCTCAAGGTGAACGAAATCTTTCTTAATAAATGAAAATTTAGGTGCTTGCTTATGCCGTGCGTTTCTAATTGTGGGGAATTTAAAAAATCTTTTTTGAATAAACCTTAGGGATTGTCAGTTTTTTTTTATGTAGAAATAATAAATTATTGAAATGAAAATTGTATTGCTTTTAAATTGAATAAAATTTTCATTTCTCATTCATTCATTTTAATCGAATTAAGGGCTTACACTATTTAATTCAAAATTCAATTTATTGCAACTAAATTCATTAAGAAATCATTTTTCTCGTAAGTTTAAAGTGCTATAAGATAACATTTGTAATATAGATATCTCCAGCAGACATGTAATATTCATATCTCCAAGTACATATCTCCAAGTATGTATATTCTTTAATGTTTTTATTTGCTCAAGCGTTCAGATCCTCTAAACGGGCTTAATCAAAACTCTCTTGAGCGGACTGGATAATATTTCTCCAATCTCAATGAGTGCCCGTCTTAGTTTAGAGTTTACACAAGATTTAGTTTCAGGGTCGTGATAGAGTTGCATAAATATTAACAGAACTGAAAATGTTAATTAATGGAAAGCCTTTTCAATCGAGTTTTTCTCTCCAAAGAAGGTATTTATACCTTCATATTCATACTCAATGGGAAGATGTAGTAAATTCTAATTCAGATGTTTAGATAATGGGATTTATTGTGAAAATATTTCATGTTTTGGGATGCTGAACTTTCACTGTAGTTCGCGAAATTCCACCCGCGGGCGTGGAAAAATCGTGAAAAGCGTTTGTATGAAACTATCTGGTTTACCCTGCGATCGTTGCCGAACTCATTTTCAAAGATCTTAACGGAAAGGTAAGATTGAAAGGATGAAGTTTTGGATGTCAGCTCAAAGATCTTAAAAAAAAATTCAATTGAGAAACAACCTGCTTAAGAACTGATGAATAACTGTTTCCGCGATTTTGGAAATTCCACCCGCAACTGTGGAAAATTAGCGGAAGACTGTTGCATGCAACTTTTTACTTGTTTACCAGCGAATCGGCGTCAAACTCATTTCCAAAGATCTTTGTGAAAACGTATTTCATTTGTATTTCGTATAATTTCTAGCAAAACGCTTAACCAGTAAAAACCTTAACAAGCCCAACTCTGATTAAGTCATTCGTGTTAATATGTATGTAAAAACAAATATGTACATATAATGATTATTTTATAAACTATGCAGTCTGTACCTCAGCCGCCACAGACCATTGTTTATAATAAATGCATTTGTTCAATGCAGCTCGCAAAACACGAGCTAAACAAAAAGTTGTTTATTGTGAGTCATCGGATTAAATATTTGCTGACCATGGAAACGGTCTGTGGCGTCAGCGGGAACAATCGAAAAATCTCGTAATTATCTTCCTGTTCCAATATTTCTCGGAAATTTGCATTTCAAAAGCGAGCAGCAGACACTTTACAAATCAACGAGAATTGCGTCGGTAAATATGTACTTTATACAGCATAAATACTATACACCAATATATGTATATATACTTTCCTAGCGAATGTTCGCTTATCGCTTTCTGGGTTCAAAATGTCATGTTTACTATATCAACGTGTCTCAAGTTGTAAGTGTGACGATGCTGCAGACAACAAAAATAATTGCTAAAATATGAAGTTCAGCATTTGCTGGGTGAGAGATATTTGATATTTTTCTGTTTTTCTGTGTTGCTTTTTCGTTACGTTGCGAGAAGTGGATTATTACGCAAGACTGGTTTACTTTCCAAGAAAAAAACGTTACACAAATGTCGAATGCCAGAAAGCCAACGACTTGAAATTGGCAACAAAAAGTGGCCGCTAAAAAATACCAGACCTTAAATTAATTGAGCCAAAGTGGGTTAGTAACCGGTTGGTAATGCGGGGGTTGATTCAAAGCAACTGTTTTGCATACACTTGCAGAGGGTATTATGGGTTTCTCATGAAATCTGCAACGCATAACTGGAGATATCTGCGAACACATAAGGTATATATATTCTAGATCAGCATCAACAGATGACTTGATATATAGCTTGAAGCTATGGCCTTTCAACTTAGCTTAGGTTCGTCTTTCTGCAGCAGGCATGAAATTGATTTAAAAATTAATAGAAAGTTTCCTCTTACAAACGATCCACATAAAAAAATCACCCCTAAAGCATTATTTTGATTAATATTTGAATGCATAAAATAATATCTCCCAAATCCATTAGGTTCACACTTTTCAGCACAGCCATATTTTTTAAAATATATCCCCAATCCCCCGGCATTTGTAGACGTGCGACAAAACTCGAGGGGCACAAATCAATGCAAGTGCCTAAATTTAAACCAAACCTGTTGAATCCATGAAAGCAGAGCACAACAAAATATTATCGTAAATAAAAAGGAAAAATGTGTTCTTTTGTTGACATTTTTATACGAATGAGTGCCTTAAAATGGTTGTTGTTGTTGTTGTGTGCCCCCAATAGAATGTTTCTTCTGATGAAATGTCTGTATATACATATTATCTAAACTACATATTTCTTCCAAAAAAAGAAAAAAACTGGCTCGAAAAGTGGGAAATATCTTAAACAATCATTAACATACCAAACAGAAACAAGTTAGAAGTTCTAATCGGGAGCTCTCGACTAGGGGATACCCTGAATCCTCCTCTTCCAACATCAAATGCATATATATATTCTATTTTAGAAGCTATATGTCAAGTTTGGTGACTCTAGCTCTTATTATTTACCAAAATTGCCCAAAGAACAGGATATCGATATCGATTTTTATAGATTGCTATCGATCTGGGCAGGCACTAGGAGGACCTACATCTAAAATTTTAAGTCTCTAGCTCTTATAGGTTCTGAGATCCTTGCGTTCATACATACGGACGGACGGACGGACGGACAGACAAACGGACATGGCTAGATCGACTCGGCTATTGATACTGATCAACAATATATATACTTTATGGGGTCGGAGATGCTTCCTTCTGCCTGTTACATACATTTGGATTTTGCACAAATACAATATACCCTTATACCCATTTTTAATGGGTTCAGGGTATAAAAACCCAAATACTTTCTAAGATGAAATCATATGCCACTTTTAAGCCCCTTTAAAAATTGAAGAAATAATGAACAGCTTCGTTAAATTGCCGCAAATTGAAACATTCCAATAATTATTCACTTTTAAGACACAATACATACATATACAACACACATATATACACATATGCACATGTGTTATATATAAGGTTTCAAAAATGTGAAGAGCTTAATTTGCTTATTTGGCAACACTGGCAGGTCTCCCATATTTGCATATACATGTATATAAATATATATGCATTTTTACACAAATATATGTACACACACTACATACATACACACATACATATATGAAGAAACTGTTTATGCATTTTGTATTTGTTTGACCTTGAATATGCCGTTGTTTTTAACTCAAAACGCAAAAGCCAACTGCTATTTTGTTTAATTCAATTAGTTTCCAGTGCAACTGTTGCAGCTGGCTATGAACATAAAATAAAGAAACCGGTTGCGATTTACACTTATATACATACATATGTACATACATATATACATACTTATGTACTTAGTTGTGTACTTAAAAATTATATTATTTATTTATTTACTTGGTTTTCAATATTGTTTTATGCTTTTGGTTTGCTTGCCGCGTTCGAGCTTAGTTCCGTGCAAAGTTTCTCAAACAACTGAATAATTTTTATTTGGCGTGTTTTTTTGTTGTTCAGACGCGAGGCGCGCGGCGAACACAAACGCAGCGCAGCGCAGCGACTGCGGCAGCGACCGCAACTTGTTGGTGTGCTTTCAGTTGATGTTGTTGTTGCTGCTGCTGCTGCTGCTGTTGTTGTTGTTGTTGGTGCTGTTGTCGTTTTCATTCCATTTGCTGTATTTGTCATCTCTGCTGGTTGCTCTCTTAAATGCTTGTTTGTGTGCGTGTGTGTATGCTTTTTATGTCCCATGGGAGTTGTTTTGCTTCACCGTTTTTATTTAATTTTAGTTTTTATTGTTTGGCTTAGCGTCGCGGTGAAAGGTGTGTCGGCGGAGGTGTCAGACAGCTCGGCTACTGCATTAGTTATGATATCACTTACGCACTTAAGTTAAGCAAACAAGTGGGGTTTGTAAATGTACAATAATACACATATATTTGTATTTACATTGTCATGCTGAAAGGCATGTACTTATAAATACTTACATTAATAAATACAACTTACTTATTTAACTTGAACTTATATTAATTTTTATTTATTGGAATTTTTTATTTTTAACGCTGTGAATGATTTGTTGATTGTGTCCCGCCGCAGATGCTCAATGAGAGCACCGCAACTTTGTTTATTACTGTTCCCTTGTTATTGCGGGATTAATGAGCGCAAGTGAGCTTCATTCGTGTTCTTGGATCATCCCACACACGCGCACGCACGCACACTCAAGCTCTAATTGCTTTTGTATTGGTGCTCGTGCTGAACATTTTATGTTTGCGGTCGTCGTCAACGTCAAAGTTGACGTCGCCGCCAGCGTCTCCGCCGCTGCTGTTGACGAGGGGCTTGTGTTTTAGTTTGCACGCCGAGAGGCTTCGCACTTTATGTTTTTGCTATTGTTACTATCGCGTTCGGCCTTGTTACTGTTGTTGTTGTTGTTGTTGTTGCCGCTATTGCTGTTGCTGTTGGGTTGCAGCAACAGCTGTCAACATTTCGGACGTAGCGGCAGCAACTTTGAGGCGGGTTGCCGTCGCGTGTTTGTGGCGAATATAAGCAAAATGGTGGAGTTTGAAGCTTTAAAGTTTAGCTGCGCTTTTAAATGTTAGCTTTTGCCGGTTATTGAAAGCTTAAACCTTTAGGTATTGACCGGAAAAGGCTTAACCGTTAAGCCGTTAAATTTTGACTCGTTTTACATGGGAACGAGTGGCTGAATATGAATTCAATCACGATGAATAATTAGATACAATGCTTAGCTTAGCTGTTAATCAGAAACTAACTGAATATTTATTTGCGTATTAGCTTAGTTGTTTAACTTATGACTATTCATGCGCAGCATCTACATCGGCCGAAGGGCTGGAAGCTTCCGGTGAATCGCTCGCCTCCGAGGCACCACCAATATCGCCTGCAACAATTGGTGGCTCTGTGCTGGTGGTGCTGCCGCCCAGCTCCAGGAGGCACATCGGATCGTTTTGACAATCGACGGAATCTCTGGTGGGAGCAGGAAAGCAAACCACGCGCTCCACTTCGCGCACCAATTCGGAGTTCTGAGGATCCGTTTCATTCAGCATTATGGGGAAGCACACAATGCCGCCAACAGGCGGTTCGGGCATTGCAGTAGTATTCGCTGTCTCCTCACTGGAATCCGATTCATGCTCCTCTTGTTCTTCCTCCTCTCTGGCCAGCGGGTTAACTGCCCCGTCTGGGCTGAGCGACTCATTGGGCGGCTGCTCCGTCTCGTCTGCGGCGCCCTGTGGCTGTCCATTATTGATAATGATGACCTCGCGCCCATTGCCGGTAGCCACAGACTCACCCGGCTGAGTCTGTGGGTACACATGCGACACATGATGATGGTGGCCAAAGAGCAGGCGGCCAGCCAGCATGCCGGTCAGAAAACTAGTGCCTAGAGTAGAACGGAATAAGCAATTGCGAATCTGGTGCAGATGCTGCACATTCACTCACCGGAACCCATGGATAGGGATGTGGGCGGCTGTGCGTAGTAGACCGCGCCAGCGGGCAGCGTCTGGGCATTCGCATAATACGTGCCCTGTCCCGCAGCTGGTGCATAGCCGTAGCCCGGCGGCAGCTGTTGTCGTGGATAGCCGCCAGCCTGTGGCTTCGCCATGGACATGCCCTTCGCGGGCTGCGGTGGCGGCGGCGGCGGCGGCGGCAGCTTTGGCACAGTGACCGCCGTGTGCACTGGTGAGCCGCTGACCACGCGCCGCCCGCCACCCGACGACGAAGACTTGCTGCCGTATTTGCTGCGCCAGCCGCCAAAGAGGCCCCCGAATGAGCCACCGCCGCGTCCACGGCCGCCACGTGCCGCACTGGGCACCGCCAGGCAGGCGGTCAACAGCAGCAGGCACAGAAGAGTATACGTGGGTTTCATACTGGCAACTCGCAACTGCAACTGACAATAAGCACAATCAAACTGGTGGCATGAAGGCAGCATCACGGCGCCTATATCCCGCGCAAGTCGTAAATGCGCGGCCAGGTGCGCTACGATTTCAGGTCTAAGGCATTTAAATAGACTGCAAAGTTCGTGCGAACAAATCTCTTGGTCTTAGGGCCGTTTTCTCCTACAACGGAAGCACCTATATTTTTTTAAAGTTTTTTTCTAAAAATGTTAGAGATTTAATTATTTATTATTTACTTTATTCTATATTATTTATTTTGTTATATATAATAATATTATATTACACAAATTATTTATTTATATTGAAAATCATATCTGCATATTTTATAATAATTCATTATTTGTTTACATTTTATTTATATTAGAAATTTAAAAAACAGCAGACGCCTGAAGAAAAAATTAAAAAAAAAATTAATTAAAGCAAAGATGATTCTTGTTTCTTATTATTATTATATACATTTGCTAATTGTCTATATTTTATTTATATGAAAAATATGATAAGGTTCATCGAATTGATAGATGCTTATTTCTGAAACAACTTCTTCTAATTAAAAATTATACCAAAATTTAACTGACATATATTAAAATATAAAAATTAAATTAATTTAACTTAAGTAGAAAACATGTGTAGTTTGTTCATAATATTTTGTTCAATGAGCTTAAATTCGCTTTGAGAAAAGGCTTTCAATGTTTTAACAACTCAAAACACAAATCGCAAAATTTTGATGCATTTCCAAATCAATTGCAATAGAACGATATTGACATGGTGGAAGGGCATCAGGTGGATCGTATTGGCCAGGTGTCAAGTGTCGGACCATTTTATACGTGTCACGCAATTTGTATGTGACAGCTGAGCGAGGGACTGAAATTCATACCTACGTGCCCACATATCAAAGAAAATTGAATGAGTGTCGTCGTGTAATAATTCAATTGCCACCAATTGAGCCGCACTCAAATTCTCAGATTTTCTCGAGCCGGGCCGCATAGACAACAGGAGCAAAAAAATAAATAGTATAAATATATGTATACACATATATATGTATCTAGAGGTATATATGCTATTAGCTCGACGCCAATTTGCCAAATGTGTCGCATCTAATTTCATTTGGCCTGCAACAGTATATAAAAAATTCCCCATTACATTTGCGCTCGCTGCGATCTCTCCGGGCTGGGCTTAGCTGTGCAACATCACGTTCCACGTAATCCACTAACAGACAGCTCCGGCAAAGATCTGATGCTGACCCATTGGCCGGGCATACGAAAGCGTATCTGAGGCCGCGAATTAAGCATGAAAATGCATTGCCCGAGTGCCGCCTTGAAGACAGACAACAATAACAACTCAAGGCGTTGCGCTCATTGCAATCAATCAATCGAAATTGTTTAACTAAAAGCGCTGAGCATCTATTACATGCTGCTAAACTGTGATACATCAACTTGCTAGATAAACAAACTATTAAATATACATTTATTTGTTATTAACTTTGTTCATAAAATATCAACTCATATCATAAAAGCGTTTAATTGAGTGACTTTCAGCTGCATTGCTCAGCATTGTTTAATTTCGAGCGATATTCATATTTTACCTTGGTCTAGTATTGGAAACTATAATTTGCAACAAACACTGAGTGTTGCAAAACCAGTCAAGGCATGCGACGTGCGCGTAGAACCTTAAACTTAATCTTAATATTGCCTTTTTTTAAGCTTCAGATATTTTACTATTAATATTAAAGAAATAATGGAATGGACTGGAATGGATTTTTGCATTTGTTATATCTTTGCAATATGTTTTACAACACTGCCCGAGAAATATGTTGACGTAATCGAAATTTGGGCACACTAGATTTACAAAAATGTAATGGGGCATATTTATAAAAAACAATTGAAAGAACGAACAACTGCCATTGAAGATACATAAACAAACTTCGGCACATCTCGATTGTACGCCTTATCCTTGAATATTGCATTTTAAGTCCAAATCAAGGATCAAATTGAAGGGAGGTTTAAGCTGGATCCCCATTATAGCTTATGTACTATACCAAATTTCTTTACTGTTTTTAATAAATTTGTTCTACTTTTTCCAAATTTAATTAATACATTATTAAATGAAATAAATAAATTTAAATATTTGCTATCCATACTCATGCATTTAAATATAATTTTAGAATAACACTTTTAATTATATATGCTTCTATATATTATTGTTACTTTATCCTTTATTTAAAAATATCAATTCAAAGGGTTAAGGGTGCCCCTATTCACCTTTTGCATGCTAATTATCTACCCCTATATTATTCTTTGTCGACCTTCTCGACCTTCACCTTGACACCTGTTGGGCTTTAAGTTTTGTATGCACAGATTTGAATTATAAATGTCTCACGTACATATTTTATCTTCCAGTATAACTAAGATGCGTACATTTGCTTGTGCCACCAATCTTGTTTACTCATTATGCGGCAACTTAATGCCCATAAATTTGCACGGTATGGTTTATTGATTGCCGACCGAGCGGCAACATTAAAATCGAATACCGGAGCTGCGGAGCGGGCAACCCGGAACAGGCAGTTACTTCATTTAGAACGTTTAGGCCATTTTGAAAGTCATTTATAATGAAATGTAGATGTTGAACCTGCACCCAAATAAGTCGTACGTCATCTATAAAAGCAAAAATTAGTTGCTGGAGACAAACCAAGAACGAGAGCGAAAGACAGAGACAGCCGGCGCAAAGGCGAACTTGTATAATATTTACGAGCTCAAGTGACCAAAGCTATTGCAAAAACAATGGCCAAAAGCGGAAAGCATAAAAAGTAACTACTTTGTGGCTTACGTGTGTTGCTATCCCCAACTGTAAGTGTGTGTGTGTGCGCGTCTCTCTCTCTCTCTTGCTCTCTGTCTGTGCGTGTATATGTGTATGCGCGTGTGAGAAACTCAAAAGCTAGAGCATACTTTTAGGCGCTCATAGAAAATCGCCGTTGGTTCTGCTCTGTGTGTGTGTGGCACATTTGCGGGCGTCTGTGCGTGTGTGTTGTGATTGTGTAATAAAAAATATCCAGCTGACATTTTGTGTCAAGCACCTTTTTCATTTTGGCACTCAGCAAAGCGTGGCCAAGTCCAACTGGGGGCCCATTCTACATGCCGCCACGCTCGCCTGGCTCCAGCCTGAGTGATGACAAATTACATTTGTCAGATTTATGACCAATTATGAGCGTGTTATATATCACAGTAGCAGCAGCAGCAGCAACGGCATCACAGCCACCTTAATGGCAAGCGCTATGAATAAGTCGCCATCGTTTGTTTGTGGGCGCCGAGCTGCGGCCAATGCACAGCGTACCAGCTACTTGATGGGAGTGGCACATGCCACATACTATATACCTATATGGCAATTGGTAATGCTGTACGTTTGTCTAGGCTTTGCGTCTTTTCCCATATCGCATTTCGTGCACTTTTGGTGCTCCCTTTCGGTTCTTGCCCAGGTTTATTTGGACCCGGTTTTGAGAAATGCCCGCCAGACGTCCTGAGAAATGGCCGGGCATATCGCCTGTCTTAATGTCGCACATTCGACTGGTATTATTTATGCCGCTAATGCGATGAAAATAGCTGAAATTGCCTTTATTACATGCGCAGTTAAACTTCAATTACAGCTCTAATAAAAATACATATGCCTAAAAGTATTAAAAGACGAGAGTCTTGCGACACAAAGCTAAATCATATATCACCATCTCTTAATGTCCTGGCATCCAAGGCTCAACTAAATAAATCAATGTAATGCGACCTAAAGAATGGTATACAAAATCATACATCTTATTTGTCTACGGATATAAAAAGCTGAAGAAATGTTTTGTTTTAATTTGTTGTGTTTTGCGCAGGTATCGATCATTACTTTCTGATCTCTAAAAAATATCTTGTTATTCTATAATTTCAATTATTTTATAAATATAAATCTTAAACATACATTTTGCGCAGTCGTGTCTTAAGACAAATATTTATTGTGAAGAGAGACCTGCCCTGAATTCTTGTAATACGATTAATATTAACAAAAAGTCAGTACACTTTACTCAGTACTTGTCGTGCAACCCTCGCTGGCAATAATAATTTTCGCCTTTTTAGTGACAATATATTGTTGCCAAAGAAATATGTATATGCAAAAACGGGGCCTATAAAACACGCGGCAAAATTGCGCCAATTAAAATCGAGAGGCATAAATTACCGGGATGCGTTGGCGTCTCAGTTTCCGTTTCGGTTTTGGTTTTGGGCACTTTTTGTTTTTGAGACTGGGCGTGGCAGCAGCTGCGCCCCATAAACATTAATAAGAGCACCAGTATTTTATGCTTCATTTTGCAATTCAATCAGTTTCAATTTCCACCTGTCGAATACATTTCCGTTTTACTGTTTATTTAAGCGCTGGCTAGCGCGGCGTCGCCGGCTGCTGCTCGTCATTTTTATTTTATTTTTAATTTCAACTTGAATTTCAAAATTCAATTAGCTTGAAGGCCCTACGCCTGGCAACGGGAGGAAGTCCGTGATTTACCCAGTAGTACCACGAGTCCATCCGCCTGCCCACCACTCACTCGCTTTGTTGTTCGCTTTCAGTTTTGAGATTTATGCTTTTAGATTTTAATAAAAAGCCACATTTTGTGTGGATTCTCGGACGACCCAGTTGCGCGCATAGACAGCGAGTCTGCAAGGGGAACAGGCCGAGAAATAGGGAGAGAGGTGGGGTAATTAAAGTGCCATAATTTTAACCACAGCGCAAACAAAGAGTGAAAGAGACAGAGAGAAAAGGAGAAAAAAAGGCATCGCCGACACTAAAAATTCTTATATTTCCCTAAATAATGTAGTTCTTACTAAGTATATGAAAACAAAGGCTACATATTAAGTGTGACCAGGTGCTTTTTTTATATATTCACTATATAATGCAGAACATTTTTTTATTTGTTTTAATTGTCACAAATCTATAGGAAATATTTGCAGCCGGATATAAGTTCGTTTCTTTCGATT